GCGATAGCCGGCAGGGAGGCCTTTGCGGTGCTTGATAAGCCAGGGGGGCTTCCGTCAAGGAGGGTGGGGGAAGATAGCCCTGGGACCTGGCTACCCGCTGNAATTATTTGAGACAGAGGATCGAGTATTGTAAGAATGAATATCAGAAATGTCTTGAAAGAGATCTTGAATACAAATATTTTTTCTCGAGAACATTCCGTATTGTCCACAGAAGGGACCTTTGAACCCAAGGATCTGAACAACCCGCTGAACATCGTGTACCGAGTCTAAAGTCCAATGGGATAGCGTCCACGGCACTTAATTATTTCATTGTTTTACGAGTCATAAATAACCTGTGCGTCAGACCGGCGTGATGTTTCTTTTCCGATGGAGAAGTGTTTAAATATCAATGAATGAAGTGGTTATCGACTTGTAAGGAAACAATATTGCCTCACGAGTAATGATATGTCAATTTCACTCGTAAATCGAAACAAGAAATAAGTTAGAATTTCTTACGATCAAACGATCAAAATTTACAACGTCGAGATTGCGCAATTAATTTACACAGAGAAATCTGAATAGTACATGTACAACCCTAAAACGAAATGTACCAAGAAATAATCAAATTTCATTTGTTTCTCATACGATACGTATCTCCAGTTCAAAGTTTCCTGTTAAAAAAAACAACTTGTTATGTAAAAGTTGCTGCAATGAACTAAAATTCGTCACAGCTGAACGCTAATCAATAGTGTTATAATTAAGTTATCACGCACGGTCTTAGTGGGCCACACGCAGCAGTCTGACGGTCTTGCGGACGGGGGAGTGATATGAACAAGAAATAAACTTTAACGGAACCTTTCCCATCAGTTGCCTTGTGTGATTCTAGTTAACTGGTAATTAACACTGCCCAAACCAGCTTGAATCGTTACAAAATTCATCTAGTAACTTTACTCGGCGATACTAGCATTGACAAGCCTCGTGCCCAAGTTCAAGTTCAGGAAGCAGACCGGGCTTTCCACTACAAAGCTATTTAGAAATCCTCACTTCTGATTGGTCCAGGTTTATTGCGCCATTGTTATCAACCAATCAGCGCGCGATTTGCAATATACAGCCAGCTGCCCGGACCTGGAGCTGTTAACTTATGTCATAAAGCATTACGAGAATTTCCCATGCGGTCGTAGCAAGGCCTGAAACAACGGCCAGTCGACCTTTGTGACGGGAATTTTCGTCATTATTTCCTCAGAATGAAGAAAACGAAGTACTACAGCCTCGATGAGGTGAAGCAGCACAACCGTAAAGGCGATTATTGGATAGTTATCGACGGCGGAGTTTATGATTTGAGCCGGTGGGCTTCACATCATCCTGGTGGAGAACTACCAATAAGATATATGGCTGGTCATGACTGTACGGATGTGTTCAAAGCCTTTCATCTATCGTGGGTTACTGAGAAGAAGCTGCCTGCCTTTAAGATCGGCGAAGTCAAAAACGAATGCGAAAAGACGGTACAGGAGTGTAGTTTGGTCAAAGACTTCCAAAAAGTACGAGAGGAGATTGAGCGCGGTCTTGACACCAACTGTAAGTTGATCTTTTGTCACTAGCTTTTCATGCATTCACTAGCAATTTAGAGTTTTCTTGACGCTGTAGTTGACTTTTACCCAAGCCTGATGTTTGAAGATGAAACATTTTTCACACCTAGGTACGAATTACGAATTTACCGGTACGAACCACCCCCCGGCACGATCATTTCGAGAATTTTTTTTCAGCGAGATGGGAAATGATGAAATGTCACTCTCCTTTATTGAGAAATTGTATACCTCACAGATCAAATCACGGGAGAATCTAATTTTTCACAACCTCCGTCCTTGATTTGTAATTTATATTATTTTTGACTATTTGCAATGCATAAAATGGCTTCCTTCTTTTCAGCTTTCAAGTTTCAGTTTGAGTCTTTGCTGTATAAACGCCGGCGGCAAGCGATAAAATCGCGCCATATCAAGGGAACAAATACGACGGTTTCATGTTTTTGGGAGTGGTTGTGCAGCTATTTCGTTTTATTATTTGAATTATCAATAAACAAACTCATGTTAAAAGCACTGCAGTTGTGTCGAGATTATTTACACAATTTTTTAATTTTTCGGTTTTGATCGTCAGTAACTTACATGTATTAGATGGACTAAGAGGCGGTGGTTAATTTTTAACAACCGACCCGAAAAATTGAAGATTAAGTCAAGTCTCTTTTTTTTTATCCGCTTACATGCTAAAGTAGATTTGAGGCCGTTTTTGCCATTCTCCAAGACTTGCTTGCTTTCATCTCATTTTGCAAATTTCATTTCTGCGGTGTGTTGACATAATAAGCTTACATTCAATCATGCAGAAAAAACCGAGTGCCAAAAAAAACTAAACTTGATTAATATAATTTCATTTGAGAAAAATCTTTGTTTGTGACTGTCATATGCTTAAAAATTATGTTGCATATGTCATCTTGCATATGATTTGGGATGAATTACATGTACATTTACATTTAAATTACTAGTAGTTTTTAAGACATTGGCAAGTGAAATTTGCATATTTTTTCCATAAATTATAAAAAAAGTTGGTGATTAAACTGGCTTCAATTCTGTCATGTTGTTGGAGTTATAATTGATTTGGTCAGGCTGAAGATATTTTCCGTGATAAACCTTATTATTATATAAACACCTATGAAATACCAGGTGAGCTTTGTGCAAAAACATGATATCTTCCATGTTATTTTCACGTGTGAAAAGATCACCATCACTATGGTTACATAATAAATCCCTTTAATTGCACTTAAATGTGTTGATGTATGATCGAAACATCATTGGGTCTTTCTCAGATATCTTTGGCAATCTTTAGTTATCTTCAGAAATCTTCGGTAATCTTCGGAAATTTTCGGAAATGTTCGTCTGGCCTTCTGGAAATCTTTTGGAGAATCTTCAGAAATTTTGGGAAATTGTGCGGAAATCATCGGAAAATCGTCAAAAACGTCGTCATTAGTATGTTTATATAATCGACATAATACATGGTTGCTTGTAGATACGGAGTTTTTCTTCTCGTGTTCAACTTGATATCTCGCTCATTTGCTGCGCTCACTCTTGAGATGAGATATCAAGTTGAACACTAGTAGAGAAATTCCATATCTATGTGTGCGTATGTATTATTCTCTACTTAATAATGGCAATGTCCATAAATATTAAAAGCTAGCTTGTGACAAATATTCCAAATCAAAAAGTTGCACAATTTTGTCTGTGCTCCCTACTTCCTTTTGAAACATTTGGAAAAACTGTTTTAAGGTGACGTGCTAAAGTCATGAAATTAACTTCAGCTCGAGGTTCTTTTCACCACACTGAATTTTAGAAGAATTTTCAATTAAAGTCAGATATCAGTAAAGAAAAGCTACAGGAAAATTGTCTTATGAGCAGAAATCTTCTGTGTTCTTGTCAATACTTCACATGTAAAAATTCAAATTTGTAGATTTCCTCTACAGCGATATGTAAAATTCCAGGCAATACCCAGACTACCATTTGGTCTTGTTGCGTAAGCTTGACGCTTTCATCCCACAACCCTTCTCAAAACAGCTTTATATTTTTTATTATCATTAGTGCAAGGATTCATCCATAATGATAGAAGCATACATCTCATGAGCCATGAAAAAAACATGTGCAAAAGTTATTACAAATTCTTATCTAGTTCCAGACAACTTCAGTTCCACCACGTACAAAGAGATGTGCAGCACCAGAAAGTAACCATACTCCCCCCACAGAAGGGATGGGAATTTCCTGGGGGGTGGGGGGTTCTCTAAGACCAAAAAATTGAAAGAAATGTATCAAGTTTAATTGGAATTTCCAGAGGGATGGGGGGTCTTGGAAAAAATCCCTTCTGTGGGGGAGGTATGGATATTCTCTGGAACTACACATCTCATAACACCTTTTCCCTCATCTAAGAATTCGCTGAGAATCCTGATTACATTGCATTATGTCTGTAAATTCTCTTCTGTGTGTTTTAAGAACCATTTCTTAGAAGACAGAAATGATCCCTAGACACTTCTAGAAGTTCTAAGAGTATCATGTAGAACCCCCAGCCCATCTGAAAAAAATTGCACTTCCTTTTCTTCTTGTAAACATGTATTTATTTATTTATTTATTTTTCATTTTTGTTACAACAGATTGGTTCTACGTTGGACATGGAATCAATTTGAGCGTCATATTTGCTCTGCTCATTTATGGTGTTGTTTTCAGCAACAATGTTTACATACAAGTAGCCTCGTCCATATCCATGGCAGTGTTTTGGCAACAAATGGCTTTTATTGGACATGACATTGGTCACACTGCCGTCACTCATGATTTGAAGACAGACAGTAATATAGGCATTTTTGTTGGCAACATGACTACAGGAATCAGCATTGCATGGTGGAAGAAAAGCCACAATGCTCATCACATTGTGACAAACTCAGTTGAGTTTGATCCAGATATTCAGCACCTTCCTGTACTAGCCATTACAGACAAGTTTTTTCAGTCAGTGAGGTCAATGTACCATGAGAAGATTCTCTACTTTGATGGGCTGGCCAAGTTCTTTGTTTCTTACCAGCACTGGCTGTATTACTTGATAATGGGTCTTGCACGGTATAATTTGTACGCACAGAGCTTTCTGTTGGTGTTTTCATTACCCAGGGGACAAAATAAATATTTTGAAGTATTTGGCTTGGTGTTCTTTTGGACTTGGTATATTTACCTCTGCTCATTCCTACCAAGTTGGACTTCCTTGTTCATCTTTGTATTTGTGGCACATTTCCTCGCTGGAATCCTTCACATTCAGATCACCCTGAGTCACTTCTCGATGGAAACCTATCATGGTCACCCTCTAGATGCTTTCAAGAGCAGTGAATTCCTCCTTTCTCAACTGGCAACAACTATGGACATTGAGTGCTACCCATGGCTGGACTTCATCCATGGCGGTCTGCAATTCCAAATTGAGCATCACCTTTTCCCACGCCTGCCACGTCACAGGCTACGTGAGGCGAAGGTCAAAATCCAGGAGCTTTGTAAGAAGCACAACATCACCTACAGGTCCAAAACATTCTTAGAGGCTAACATAGAAATTATCCAGAAACTTAGGGAGACTGCTAAGAAAGCCCAGTGTATTTCCCCCATCATTTGGGAAGGGATTCATGCTATTGGTTAGAAAAATTGACACAATCTTACTCTAACTTGCTGACAAAGGGGGATCTCAAATTTCTTTCTCGAAGCATATTGCTAATATTTGAAGGGTCATCAGAATTCACTGGTTATTTACATTACTTATTCAAGAAATACTTTGAGTTCTTTTTCAAATGACTTGTACTATATTTATACTGCATTCAATTTTTGTTGGAGCAAATTCTAAGCATGACCTAGCAAGAGAGAAACTGAGCTGTGGTTACAAAACTATTGCTGTATGTGTATAAATTTGCTTTCAGGTTAGGTCTGATTTCTAGGTCTCAGTATCTTGAATATTTGAACAATAATTATTAGATATTATGCTCAGGTAAGTCTGGTTTTCAAAGGAGAACATTGTTATGAATTATTAATAGTAATTTAGAGATTATTATGAGGTAAACCAAAGAGATATATCTAAGCCAAATATATACACAATTAGATATTCTGTACAAAATGTATCAACTCAAACCTCATTAATATGGACACAACAGTGACCACAGAAGGTGTCTATTTAATGAAGTATCTGTATAAAACCAGTTAAGGTGGCTCCCTATAGTTTTATGATTGTAAGCACCCTGATGAAAAAAGCTAAAGTAATCTGTGTGTGCTTGAAGGAAAATATCAGTGTTTTTTGACATTTTATAATGTCAACATGAGCACAGAAACCAAAATTTTCTTGCTTTTCTGAAATTCTGTAAAATTTGGCATACTGTTAATAAAGATTTTATTTTAGTTGGAGCTCTTTTTTCAGGGAAATCTATGGGACCAGTTTTCCCACAGCGGTAGCAGAAGTAAATTCGCAAAAATCGGAAAAAAAACTGCCTGTACAAGCCCTACTTTTTTCATGTTTAAAATTTTTATGCCTCTGGATTCAGTGTCCTGTGAAATTTTGGAACATTTCACTGAAGGAAATTCAGGAAAATCAAAAATAAAGGCACAAATTGGCAAAAACACATTTGTTTGGGCATTTATAATTCAAGGCTAAAAGCTGAAATTTCATCATTGCTTATTTTATGTAAAAAGTTTGAGACAAATGAAAAGACAGCTTTCAAAGTACAACACTGGCGTGTGATGTGATAAATGATTACCCTGTGGAGCCACCTTAATTAAGTAGAAGATGTACTACATTTAGCTTGGGGAAATACCTGGCTAGGTTGGGGGGTAGGGGGCACTCTATTCAGGTATTTTAGTGATTGGGAAAAGTAAATGAGGCTTAAATAACTGGTGGACCCAAAATTTTCCTTTTAGGCCAAAACCATGGAAACCAAAAAATCACCAATGACGCAGAGTTTAACCCCAAAATGTCCTTCTGTGAAAATCTTGGGTTAACCTTTTTGGTGACCACAAAATAGTCTTTACAAAAATTTTTCTCTCAAAAAGCCACTTAAAAAAGTTATCACAAAATTTCTAACTCCACCTTAAGTCCTCAGTTTGGTAATTCCAACATTAAATATGCCTTTGAACCTCCCAGTCCATCAGTCACTATTATATTTTATATTCATTATTACGGGTGGCGAATGGTCCTTAAAAGACCATGGGTCTCGCAAACTTTTCATCAAATTTCCCAGGCCTCGCAGTCTTTTTTATGGTGGTTATGTGCATTTTGCAGTCTGGATTTTTCACAAAGCTGTCTTGCAGTCTTGACTTTTAGCAAGCCTATAAAGTCTCACAGTGCCGGTATGTTTTTTTTTTTTCTATATATGATGTCTAAACATTTTAGCTCACATTTAAAACACTTTGAAGTCTTGGCCTTGCAATTGAAGAAGTCAAAATGTCTTGGACTCACAAAGAAAAACACCAGTCTTGCCTTCTTGTAAAGTCTCACATTAATTACCATTCACCACCCCTATTATTGTTTGCTTCCATTGGCCCTGAAAAGCCTCATTGGAGGAGTGGTCAAGTAAGATAGTACCATCCCCAAGGGACGAATCCAAGGGGTTGTGTGTGTCAAGCAAGTGCTAGTAAACTACAGTTAGACTCTACATAAATTTAAGAAATAGAAAATGATTGGTGCAAACAAAAGCACATCTCACTCTCAGACTGATTCACTGGAACATGATAAAGGAAATGTTTAAACGTAGAGCTGAGAAAATGCAGAAGCAAAACAGACTTGAGTTACATTTGACATTGAAAAAGGAAACGCTCAAAACTAGTTTTATTTCATAGCAGCTGTCCAAAACTTTTACAGGTATTGAAAAAGTCATTCTTCCTGTCTTGGTGATAGATGGAGTAGGTTAAGTTTGAAACTCAGGAACAAACAGTATGCCAAGGTTGGGTGTGAAGCATCGAGAGGCTGAGGGTTGCCCCAAAGGTTTTAAGTACTGGTAGGTGGCCTTATTTTTGGAGTAGACAGCTGAGTTTGCTATCATTGCTAAGGAATTTGAAGAACAGTTCAGCTGAGTAATTGGCTGAAATCATAAAGTAGACGATGATTTTCATCGGCAACCAGCAGCCTGCTTTTGACAGCCCTGTAGAAGTTTAGGTTGAGTGACTGTAAATAGTTCAGGGGTGGATACAGGATTGTAGAGACAGAGGTTCAAGATACAAACTGCCAAAGGCAATCCCCTCTCAGGGGTTGGGGGCATCCTTACTGTAAAATTTTTAATTGAGGTCCTTTGAGATTTCCTGCATTCTGAGGCGGATGTTATTATTATTTTGAAGTTAGGGGGCTCAACCAAACCCTCTGAACTCTCCTAGATCTGCCCCAGTAGTTGATGGTTAATGGTTAGTTGTTAGTGATTACTAGTTACGCCTTTTTGAATTTTTAAGCATTTTCTTCTTAAGCATTTTCCAGTGTTGGTTTGTGTTAGGACATAACATGAGTGCATAGGTTTGTTTTTGTGATGGTTTGTACCCATTTTTGTGGTAGTGTTAAACCGTTCACTTTTGAGGAGATTTCATGGTACAAACCATGACTCGGTGCTTTAAGAGAGTTTAAAACTAACCAAGAGATATCACTGGCTTTGGGCATTTTAACATGTCTGCTTTCTAGCATCTGACCAAGTTACATTTTCTCTTCACCTTTTAAAAATAAATTCAAGTAAGCAGGTATGAAGAAATTAAGACCAAGTTAATCTTAGGAGTTAGCTCAATATTCACAGGGAAAGTGATAGTATAATAAAAACGGTACATGCTGTCAAATTTGCTAATGCCAACCACAGGAGAAAAAAGGTTTAAAGGCCTTGGAGCATTTTAATGAAACTTTTGAAGAGATTGATCTTAAGGCCCTGCCTGAGGTAACTCTCAGTCTGAATAATGAACACTGCCATCTCAGTGCAACAGCTGTCTAAAATGAAGTCCGGACATTTCCATCTGAGGTTGGCAACTCATAATTTTAGAGTCGGGCAATTTCTGATGCTTCCCTAGGTTCAAAATCTGAGCTGTGAGCATTCAGGAACAGTGGGATAATAGGGCCTCAATAATTTATATGAAGTCATTTGAAAGAAAATTTAAAGGAAATTAAATAATATTTTGGTGTGTTTCCCATCAGAGTTATTGGTTAACTAAACAAAATATATTTATTCAAATGAATTTAAATTATAAATTATTATTGTTCTGATTATTTAATATTATATATATTTGAGAACGTATAGCTTATTATTAGTATTATTCAATTTCCCGTACATTGGGAGTACTTGTCTAGTTATGTGGCATGCAGAAAAAAATGTCAAAATTTGTACTTGTAAATAAAATTTAACTGCTTAATTTCTTGCCAAGAATGTTACCTTTCAAAAGTTATGGTTGTATGCTTTATGCATCACTGAATAGCATTACATTATGAGTTTGATAGCTTCAGTGTTTTGCATTTCTTGTAAGCAAGTTTTTTGGCAGTGAATAAAATTTCCTTATTTTAATTGCTGTCTGAAGCTTTTCTTGATTTTCACATCCACTCTCTCTGCAGGAGTCAAGTTCCCTGCGTGAATTTTTTTTGGAGGGGGGTTGGGGAGGGAGTATTCTACTGTCACAATTTTAATCTTGACACTTGCACAGTCTGATTGCCTGGAACAGGCTTCAAACAAATATTCCCCCTTGTAATGAAGTTCGTTCTTGGCATCCAGTGAATTCAGGTTTTAGCTAGGATTCTGTGAGTGGCCATCCAGTAACAAATATCAGGGCAAATGGCCTATTCTGCTAGGGGGTCTGAGGGAGTGCCCCTCCCCCCACCTCAGAAAATTTTGCAAAGTTGAAGCATTTTTGGTATGTTTTCCACAATTTTCAGCCAATAAATTGAAGGTATCGATTGGACTTGAATGATCATGCCTCGTTTACTTTGTCAAAAACCTAAAATAGATTGAAACAGCCAATACTAAACGCATCAGTTGTGTTGACACCTCCATGGTTGTCTTTGTTTACAACGTTTGTCCAACGTTGATCTTAGCGGTCATCTTAGGGGAAGTGTTATGGTTCGCCACGGGTGCACACATCTGTGTCCACAATCGTAACTTATACATGTCAGTTGTGAAATCACTCCTATATCTCCAGGCTTTCAAAACACGGTATGTGCTTGCTAAATTGGAAACAAATCAAGCAGGATGGCTGTTTGTAGCACATGGTTTTGCTGTGCACAAAATGTATTGGCCTTGAAAGGAAAAAAATGTCCTTTGAGAATTGTAGAGAAAACCGGGTGAACTCACTCTGCAGGATTTTTTTTCTTCACTTCTCCTTTGCACAATTTTTTTCTTTTAGTCACCCTCCCTTGCATGAATTTTTTTTTTGTTTTTCCCCACCCCCTGCATCACTTTTCTAATGGTCCATCCCTTATAGCCTCGTAAAGCATGTGGGCTATGCACACGTTAACAATTAAGGCTTCTTATCATGCATGCAATGTCAGAAAAACAGGGTAAGTCTGCATTTAAGCCTAGTTGCCCATAAGGCTAGTGCTTCTCCTGGTTTTGTGTCAAGAATTGACTAGGAGTATCTACTCCCCCCTGAATGGGATTTAAGTCTATCGCAGGGTCTCCCACAACATTAGTATCACCTGGATGAAGAGATTAGACTCTGTGAGAGGCTAGTGTCGTGGCTAAGTGCTCAAAACAGTGACCACGATCAGGTCTCGAGTTCACTGCACCATTAGACCATTGTGCCTCCCTAGATTATTGCAGTTGTGCAAGCTAATTAGGAAGCTGTGCCCCATGTGTGGAGGCATGGTGGCCTCATGGTTAGTGTTCTAGACTCCGGATCAAGCAGTTTGGCTTTGAGCCCTTGACTGGGGACATTGTGCTGTTTTGGGGCAAGACATTTTACTCTCACAATGCCTCTTTCCACCTTGGTGTATAAATGGGAACCGGTGAATTTAATGCTGGGGGGTAACCAGCACCCTATCTAGGGGGAGTAGCAGCCTAATGGGCCACTTGGCTGGCATGCTGACTTCACTTTGTTTTGGGCTGTCCCCTGTGTGCTTATGTATCTCATGAATGCAATGGGTGGTTTTAATGTTCCATATAGTTCTTATTCTGCACTGCAAAGCTACTGGGGGATACTGCATTCTGACTACACTAACACAAGTCATTCAATATGAATACAGTGACACCTCTATTAAGCAGCCCCCTATTAAGCGGCCAACCTTTATTTGGCAGCCAGCGGCCAAAGTCCCAGAAAAATATTCAGCTATACACTGCAATAAAAACCTCTACTCAATGGCAACCTCTATCAAGCAGCTGCAACCAGCTTCTTGCTGTCCCAAGGATGATTTTTTGTCTTATACCTTTTTAAATGGCCAGGAAGTTTTGAAGTTGGACGTTTTTAGCCAGAGGAAGCTAAAAGAATTACAATGTGGAAACATAATTTTACTGTTATGGACCGTATTATCATTGTGCTACTTTTTCTCAACTTGCAATTGTTTGTGCTGATATTTGATGACTGAACCTGGACCACGCCCAACGTTGTTTTTGGGTGAACCTCTATTAAACGGCCAGTTGCCTTGTCCCTGAGAGTGGCCGCTTAATAGAGGTTCAACAGTGAGGATGCATCAGTTGGTCATCTGATATAGATGTATCTTACTGGGGGATGTTACTTGCCAGCACAAAAATCTTTAGCAAGTGAGAATCTCTTAGTAAGGATGGGGTTGAGGAAATGCAGATTGGCAAATACTTGCATTGTCCTTTTCTTGGTCAGATAGTATTGCATCCAGTGAAATCAAAACTGGTAAATTAACACAGTGTTAAAATATTCATGACAATCAGTCTTGGCTGGCAGTACCCTGATCTCACAGGTTTTTTACTTCTTTCTGCTGCTGAAGTACTGTGAGTTTTCTTGTCACTTACTCCCAGGGCCTTGTTAATCACATTTGATTGAGAAATAAAAAAGAGGAACAAAAACCTCTAGAACCAAAGTAGGCTGGCAGTTAGCTGCAAAACAAATCTCTCACAACAATACTGGTAAAAGTCATTCATTTATTTATATTTAATTTTCTTTTGCTTGCTCAAGATTATTGCTCAAAAATTAAGGGCAACTCCACATAAAATTTCCACTTACAGTTCAACCCCTATTAAATGGCCACCCTCAGGGAAATGGATAGTTGAAATTGGAATGTTTTGTCACTCGCAATTGAATGCAAACCCACAGTGAAAACCTAACAGAACCTTTAAACATCTCCAAAGACCTGTCAATTAAAAATATCTTAGCAAAAGATCATCAGAAAGATCAGGATTCTTCAAGCTCCTCAAGAATTTCTTATATGTGGATTTTACCAGGGTCTAAGACAAGGGTAGCAAAGGTACCTGTAAGCAGAGTCTCCTTCAATCGTGGAGAATTGGGAAGAGAAAGGAGATTTTTGTAAGTAGATGAAAGGAGACTCTGCTCGCTGGGTTATCAAAGAAGGGGAGAGGGTTGCAATCTTATTTCATGCATGAATTTGAACCAAATTCAAGCATTACATATATGTTTAGTTGCTGTTAATTACACTGATTTTGTCCTAAATTCACAAATCGCACAATGCACTAATTTTTTCCCCTCATTACGTGCTCCTTTGTCACCCTTATTGACCAGGATAAGTTCTTTGCAAGATTTGAAAAGACCCTTGAGGATGTTTGCACGAATCTTAGGGACCTTTGCAGGATTATTGCAAGATCTATGCAGAATCTTACAAGACTCTCGAAGATGTAGAGAGGACTTCGTGATAACCTTGATGATCTCTGAAGTATTTTCACTAGGGAAATTATTTTGATGACTTAATCCAAAAGGTCTAGATAGCAGCAGACATGTAAAGATTTTAAGGAAAACGACCAATTTTTTAAGTTTAAAAGACAGGTTTCAACAGAACTTCTGTCATCTTCAGTTGAATGAATGATTACAAAGCAAGTTGAATAATAAGTAGGCAAAAATGCTAATTAAGACAAATAATTCCTTTATCTTGAGTTGAAAGCTGGTAGTGGCGTGATCTAAAATATGAAAGCAGTCTATTGAACACAATGAGCAACAACGTTCAGAATTCTGAAGATANATCCTTTTAATTTACACCTTTTCACGTTCTGTTGTTACTATTTGTCTTAATTAGCATTTTTGCCTACTTATTATTCAACTTGCTTTGTAAGAAGATGACAGAAGTTCTGTCGAAACATGTCTTTTAAACTTAAAAAATTGGTCGTTTTCCTTAAAATCTTTAGATGACTTAATCAAATTGAGCTATTCAAAGTGAACACATAATCCTAGACATTTACATTAATTTAATCCTGTTTTGAACAACCAGGCAGCGTACTTTAATGTACACAAAGTCATTGAAAAGTTCAAGAATCGGATTTAACATTTCCTAATAACTTAGATATATAGCTATGTGTAGAGATAAAATAGTAAAGCCTATAATAGTATGCAATTCTTTGCAGGTGAGATTTTTAAAAAGAAATGAAAAGGAAGGACAAAGCAATGGCCAGCCAGGCAGCTTAGCAAATAAAAGTACTTAATTTCATGTCAAACAAATAGCAGACATATTTAAGTAACACTAATTGGACCAAGCAGAGTACAATTCAGTGAGTAATCAAGTGAACTGTATGACATGGGGTCCAATTACTAATTAAAATTAATCTTAGCAATAACAAAGTTTGAGATAAAAAAACCTTTTAAGAACTTCTTATGAGTGAAAAAGTCAGTGGCACTTTCCATAAGTTTAAAAACTGCAGGAAACATTAAGAAGCTATTAAAGCATGCATAGTTTACATGCACATGCCTAGCGGATGGCATAGATATATCTTGAAATTGGACACCCATGTGATTGCACCCTGATTACGTGACAAATAGGTGCACAGGAACCAATTATGATCTTGAATTTTGTTTTAGATAAGATTAACATCATGCACGTAATTGTCGTAAAACTGAGCAAATTTGGCTCAACTCTTCACCCCAAAGTCAAGATCAAAGAAATCCAAGTAACAAAAGCTTCTAAATAGTACTTTCAAGAGTTTATTATGCTGCACAAGGTGGTTCTAACCTTAATGTTTGTGGGTTAAACCTTAGGGTATAGCCATTCAAGTGAAAGCTACTGTACAATACTTTCAACTGGCACTGTTTAGGATACTGTGCAAGCTTTAATTAATTTTTGAAACCCTAGTGTGAGAACATAAGAAAGCCACCACCAAGTAATATGGACTAACCAGTTTGACCAAGTGAAAGCTAATGAGCTGCATTCTTATGAGGCACTGTCTAGTATGCTGTACAAGGTGACTTTTTCTTACTGTTACATTTGTGGATGAAACCCATGCATGTCACCATTTAAATTAAAGTTCCCTCATGTGCTATTGTTTAATATATCAATGTTGCACAAAATGGTTGTGACTTGTGAATCACACTTAATACAAGCTATTAACAGTACATGTCTGATCTGTACTACAGCATTGCTGGGATTATAGAAGAGTTAAATCTATCAAAATAAATATGCAAAAATTGTGTTTTCTATTAAGGTTCTAAATTTTTTTCCAAAATGTGCAATATTGGTAAAAGTGAATTAAATATTTTAATTTTTTTAACACTGTGCCAATGCCATAGTCAATCTTAAGAAGAAGAAAGTTCCACAATATGTTCCACAGGTTGAATTCCTTCCTGGAAATTAAGTTCCTCAGGCTTTTTCACCTGAGCACTGATTTCACCTTGAATTGCAGATATCATGTCTTCAACAACACCAGTTGTTGCTTCACCTTTAAAATGCAAGTTCTTAACATGCCTCCTCAAATGACTGGGATTGTTAAAGGCCTTAGGGCAAAAGCTACACTTGTATGGCCGTTCCCCCGTGTGTATGAGGACATGCCTTTGAAGATTCCCAGAGATAGAAAAGGCTTTGGAGCAATATTGACAGCGGTACGGTTGTTCACCAGTGTGAACACGGAGATGTTTCCGCAGAGAGCTGTACTCGGCAAATGATTGGTAACAACTTGTACACTTATAAGGCTTCTCTCCAGTGTGGACACGAACATGCTTCTGAAGAGAGCCAGGATCACGAAAAGCCTTAGGACAGAATGAACACTTGTGCGGCCTCTTCCTCATGTGGAGAGCAATGTGGCCTTCAAGTGTTTTGGGGTCCTTAAAAAGCTGGAAACAGATCGTACAAGTGTAATGCTGACCATCATCAGTGTGGAACTCTAAATGTTTCTGAAGGCCAAGAGAACTGCGAAATAACTGAGCACACACTTCACACTTGTAAGTCGACTTGTCACTTCCCACATCTCCTTTGAGAAGGTCGTCTACCGTTGGAATAGCCATTTCATCATCAGAAGAAGTTCCTTGTTGATACTCCAATGATTTTGGTGCCAGAGCTACAAGCTCGACAGAGTTGTTTTCTGTACATTCATTTGAGCGAATTGAAGCATTACCCTTAGATTCATTCTTAACATAAGTAATCACACTTGATTGGCATTCCTGTGTTTCTTTAGGCTGCTGTAAACTTAATGGGAGTACCATAGAACTTGAGGTCACAGGGGCGGTAAGCTCAACACCATGTTTTTGTCCTAAATTCTCAGTCATTTCCACATCATTATAATCAATATAATTATTATTATTGCATTGAATCACAAGATCATTTTGTGGCTTGCTGACATTCTGTTGAGGTTTGCAATCTTCTTTTGTCAGCTTTCCTGTTAAATCCTTTGCAACAGCAACACTACTGGGAGAAACATCTTTTATGACAGCTTCGCAGCTAGGTGAAAGAGTTTTTGCAGAAGTTGGCACAGTTTTAGCCAAACTTTCAGCAGATGTCCTTCTACTAGGAGAAGCACTCTTGACAACAGTTTCACTAACAGGCAAAGCATCCTCAACAACAGCTGGATTGCTAGCAGAAAGGTAAACATTCTCTTTAATAACAGAATGACTGCTTACAGCTGCACTTTTGTCTGAAGAATCACCAGCACCTTGCTTCTCACCACTTATAACTGGGACAGGCATGAAATTGATAAGAATTTGTGCGACATCCATTTCTTCAGAATTATTATCACTGATGTCAACAGAGCAACTGTTTTGGACAGATACTGACTCTGTGTTTTCTTCAGACAGCTTAATTGATGTAACTGGTGACTGCTCTTGTTGTTCGTCTCCATGATCAAGTTGCAGTGGTTCTCTACTAGCTTCCATGCTTTCCAGTGGACTGTTATTTTTTAAATCCTCGGTGAAAGTTTTCTCCACAGTATATGTTTCACTCTCTGTACCCTGCTTGCTGGCAAAACCACTAACTGCCGCATCCTGATTGAAGTAGGGCAAGTATGATCCAAATGGAAAAAAACCGCCAAAAGGAAGTAAGAGAGGCGTGTTTGGAAACTGCGGCAAATTATTGCCTTGTCGTTTACCATAGTCTGTTAGCAACTGATTTGTGTCAATGTGATTACTTGCGTTGTCCAAACCTGAGGATGAAAGAGATGTTGAACAAGACCCCATAGATGTCCCATCTCTGTTTGACAATGCTGTTTTTGAATTACCACTTTGCTCTTTTCCTGTTACAGTTGACTGGCCCATTGCTTGCGCCATTCCTGCACTTATTGCCTCCATATACTGCTGCATAAAAGCATTGTTGGGTGGCCAGAGTGGAGGCATCATCCTCATGGGCATCACTTGAGGAGCAAAAACTGGGAATGGCATTGGAATAGCAAGTCCAAACATCCCTGCATTCATTGAGTTCATGTCATAAGCTGGTATACTTGGCTTGTCCTTTTTGTCTGTCATTCTTTTCCTGGCAAATAAAAGTTAATATCGTTATTCTTAGGCCTGATTCAATTGTTGTGCTATTAGGGAGCTTAAGAAACCACGACGGCAACAAAGACTCTGGGTACAAAGTTATCTATAGAACTTTTATTTAGTTCAACAGTACTTATACCTGACCGGCATAAGTCTTAACAGAAGCACTAATCTCAGATCATTCAAAAACCCAAATAAGTGTTCTTTACTTGTTCTTTGAGAAATAAATTAACGTTGTACCCGAGCTGGTTAGTGAAGCTGAGATTATTGTTATCATTGCTACACTGATGAATCCAATTCAAATATCTGAGTTATAGTAGTGTTAAATGGCAAGTTATAAACTTATTCAGACTATCAGTCGAGTTTGATATGACAAAACAGTGACTGTGACAAACAGTACTCTTGAGCTAGTCCATCAATGCTGATTAACTTCAGTTCTCAAACACAGGTATTAATAAGTCAACAAATTTTAACAAAGGAAGTTGTGACTGTGACAGATGTTTGGATAACTGGTCTTTATTAGCATAGGTTTTCACGATTTTATTTCTCTGTTTTCTCCTTATTTTCTGAAGATATTATCAAACACTCAAGACCATGTCTGACCACATTTCCAAACACCTTGAAGTTTGTCAAAAATACTCTGCTTTGCAACACATTTTCAACACTTTTCTCAGTGTTTGGAAGTTTGGTCAGACATGCCCTTTCATGTTTGATATATTACATCAGACTTCATGATCATGTGACATGTACACAAGCATTTCTAGGGAAATTATTTCATATGTGTCTCCAAAATTTGCATATTAACTCTGAAAATAAACAGTTAACCACAGGGTCTCCCTATTCTATTCATTATAGATGTTTTATAACCCTCTCAGAAAATATTATTGTACTAAAATAGAGACAAGGACTGATTCTAATTTTGAATGTTAAACAATTCATTTTAATTACTGGTATAAACAAAGATTATGGATTGAAGCTTTTCACCAAGAGTGAATTTGAATTCTCGTTTTTTAATTTTACTAGGAATACGTGACTGTACTGTTTTGACTGCAATCCTTCTAAGATTGAAATGTCAAACACAAATACCATAAGGTTTTCCAAAAACATTTTAAAACGAAAAGGAGCGATAATAAATTAAAATTGAACAACGTTGCAATGACTCCATGTCATCATTATCAAGTTCAAAGTACACGACATTAATTATACAGATGGGAAAAATAGCATGAAAATATTCTTAGGTGTTAAAGTATTCAATTGTCAGAATTGTCTTGAAGTAAAAAGTTTTGCGTGAGTCATCAAAACGTAGTTTGGTTTTAATATTGCTCCTTTTCGTAATAAAACACAAGTACGGTGAGTTCAAGGTACCATGGACATGTTAAGTTTCCTGTTAACTTTGACTGTACATGGCAGCAAATTGGTCAGAACAATAAAATTGATTCCTACTTAGCGGCATTTAAACTTGTCAAATTGTAAATTCATGACAAAAAAAAAAACTTCTAAATATAATGCTGCCAAAAACTGAAAGCGCAAATTAACTTCACGTAGTCTTTGACAGGACCCATTCACCATTGTGGGATATAATGTTGGTCAAGTAAAAGTGTTTACCATCAATACTTCCCATTGAAATCCTTCCCAGTTCTCTGTTGTATTAATTGATATCATTGTGTATTAGTTTTAAATGGTTTCATTGTTACACCAATGGTGGCTATAGGATAACAATGCATTATTCCCTGACTATTTGATAATTAATTAGTTCCTGCTTATCAGTGAAATGAAACTTTGCATTTTGAATAACATGAAATCGCTCCTCTTCCATTTTTTAATCAGATATCTAACTTTCTTCCATTCTTAGACTCCAGTAGTGAAAAAACAAGTACAACTTCCGTGTGTTTTCAAGAAAGCAAGGGTGTCATGTTACATACCTTGGCAACAAAACATACAAAATTAAGTATCAAGCTACAGAAGTTGGTGTGAAAAGTAAAGTTGTCTCATTTGCTACTTCAATGTTTTATACCAAATTTAAAAATCAACATAAAACCCTAGCACAGTAAAATTCAAAGCTATCTTCAAAATGGTTAGTTTAAGTTTTGGACCTTAAATGAAAATACATGCATAAAACATTCACACTGCTAAGATTAGAACCTGACCATTATATGCCAGAGCTCAACATTGCATGCTGCACTAACTGAGATTATCTCACTTGTCTTACAGTGGTCGGGAGTTTGTTGCTTTTCTTCTTGCTGACAGTTTTTCCATAGTGATTACAACCGTATGTTGTAACTAACTTATAGAATGGCAAAGAGAAATATCTTAGACTCTGTTTAAATAGTACCACATATCCATGACAATTGCTTTGGGGATTGCAAGCCCTCTCTCCTATTTAAAAAAAATTGAGACTACTGGTAATATTGCCACATATGTTTTTGTAACATAGGTCCCCCATTTAATTTTTTAAGTCTACCTACAGGTGTAGTCCTAGTAATTTCTTTAGATTCCTAGCAGAAATTTGCAGTTTCCTTCAAATTGTATTCTTTAAAAAAATTTCTCATAGACAACGCCTCTGTTCAACTAATGAGAAAGTTAAATCAGAAATATTATTTGAATTGACCAGTATAGCAGGAAAAATTTCTTCTTTAAACCAGAATCAATTGTTCTTGAGAGAGCAACTTTAATCCATGCTTACATGGTGCTTACATGGTCAAAATAGCATGCTATCAAAAGCATTTAACAACAAACTTTGCCGGTCTGTTCACCCACCTTACTAAAGTCTAAAGGCTATTGTGCTATAAGTGATGTGAAAAACCTAAAGCTATCTATTAATTTGTTTCTCTGATGTCCAGTCTCCCAATGTAAAGCTAGAAATCCCAGGCAAGGATCAGAGTTTTTTTTATAACTGAGTATCATTTCAGCTACAGTGAGGCAGCTTCGTTTTGTTTAGTAAGGCAGAAATGCTGAGGTCTCATATAGTTATGACCTGCGTATACTGAATTAACTACAAAGATACAAAGAAAATTTTATGATTTAAGCACTGTTGGAAATTAGAAGGTTTAAAGTACAATTATAGTGGGGCCATCTTCCTCTTTTAGTTCAGTCTTGTGCTGTGATCCTCTTCAATATGGTCAAGTGTTTAGCACATGAACTTTAAAAAGATTCATGAGTAACGATTGGGTAGAAAAAGCTCATTATTAAGCAAAAATAATTTCCTGTAACAAGCAAACAGGATGTGCTCTACGCAGCACAATCCCTCACCAGCTGCCATGCCTCATTCTTCAAAGACAACAAAAAAAAAACCCGAGCCGCAAAATGAAATAGCAAAAATAATAATAAAAATAACAATAATAACAAGACCAAAAGTTGAACATTACATTTTCGTAGATAACTTTGTTCTAAGTAATCCAAACGTTATCTACTTTCCAAACATAAAACAAAACGAATCGTGTACAAAAGAACGGCGACTCAAGCAGGAAGAAATTAAAAGACGGCCATATTTAATTTACACCGTTTACTGCAGATCGTTCGTTTTTCCTGGTTTTGCTTAAAGCTACACCCTTCGTCTTGCAAATTTAAACGTTATCTGCCAAACTATGGGCATAGGTTGATCAGAAGACCACTGTTTAATATCATGAACAGAACGGTGATGCCAATTTCCATGCTGAAAATTGAAAAAAAATATGCGAAGCACCGAAAGCAGCCTCTTGCTTTGACGCAGAAATCCGAACGTGCTCAAAAATTCGACAACGTTTTCTTCTAGCACTGGTGGATATAAAATAAATACTTTTCTCAAGAATTCCAAGTTGATCGAAAGGAAGAGCAAGAAAAGGAAAATGTAAAAAAGAAGTGTTTCGGCACGAATTCAACAAGATGTATCTTGTAAATTTCAGTCCATACCTGAAACCGGGGAATCTCCTCTGCGCGCTTGTCTTGTTGTTTCAAGTTTCTCGTCCGTAGAAAAAACCACGCCACGTTTTCACCATCTCCTATCTCCTAATAAAGAAGGTTAAGTGAAAATACTTTTTTCTTTACGAATAAGGGAAAGGACCACATTTTAAAAGAAGGAATTGCTTGCCAGTGATGTAATTACTCGATCGTACGTCAATGTCGGTGCCTCCTGGCGACCCGAAGTGAAGGCAAGTTTTATAACGCAAGGTGTCTCGGGTAATTACTGTCACGTGATCGCTGAATCCCCAATGGCATCCCCAATACCCAGTATGCTTTTCGCCACGCTGCAATGGAAAGTAACCAGTTAGTCCGTTGTGAGCCCGCGTTCCTTGCCCCACACCGCCAATGAAAAGGAAGGAAAAAAATGCACCTCACTGAATGATACAAAAACGCCATGTCTGCATTCTCTATCTTCCAAATTGCTAATAATTCACTCTGTCTTCCCCCCAAATTTTGCGTAAACTATTGTTGTGAAATACCCTCTTGGGAGGTGTGCAAATTCCCAAAAGCATTTCACAACAATAGTTTATGCAAAATTTGGGCGCAGACAGAGTGAATTATGAGCAATTGGAAAATAGGGAATGGGAGGCTACTCTGACGGTCTACTCTGGACAACTTTTTGAAATGAAAAGCCCTGTTCTTGAAAACTTTCGCTGCTTCAATATTTTATCCCGTCCCAGCTATAAAATGTCTCGGGGCATGTGGATGCCATGAAGTCCATCAAGCACGATAAGCGATATATACACTGAGGGACAATGTGATACTATGGTATCAGTGTACTCAGGGGAAAATGCAGCGAAGCGTTGTCTGTCGTATTAGGGGCGGACCATTATTTTTTTGGGGGGTGGGGGTGAGGGAATGGACAATTTCCAACTGAAAAAATTCCTACACAGAAAAATACTGCCGAAAAAAAAATCGTGCAAGGGTAGCCATGGGAAAAAAATAGAGCAAGTGCTTTCTACAATCATAATTTCATAATTTTGATTTTCGATGTTACGAAATTCTTGCACAAGCTATTGCCCACTAAGAAAACGTAGGGCCTGTTTACAAGGAGGGAGGGTTACCCTAGCAAGCGGGTTAACCCTAGCTGGATTGCAAAAGAAAGCCTGGGTTTACAAGCAAACTTTCACAGGTAGGGTAACCCTACAACCTGGGACAACCTAAAGCGCGGTTACGCTCAAAGGGTCTCCTGTCTGGAAACAATTAGAAAGTTAATCCCGGGTAGGCGGGTAAACCCTACCTAGAGTGTTTAAAGAGAAAAAAGTTAACCCGCCTGCCAGGGTAACACGACGAAGAGAAAAAGAGGAAATGTGCGAATGTAGGGTAACCCTCTCTCCTTGTAAACAGGCCCTAAAAGTGTGAAAAAATTTCATGTCCCAGAAAATTGCCCACCCGCTCCCCTCCCCTCCAAAAATACCTCAGTATGGAGGATAGGTATAAATATATCGGGAAAATCGCACCACAAAAACACGTGAACGAGTGTTGACGGGACCCCACTTCAAGCCCAAAATGTCTGCAAACTTGTGACACGTTACGTTAGCATGTTAGACAGGTGATCCGACTACGCGTTTTTTCTACCATTCCCAGTTTATATGAAAACAAAAAAAAAATTGGCTACGCTTCAATTTAAAACGACTAGTTCCAGATGCTTTTTCAAACATAATAAAACCACGAGGGTTCCTTTGCTTGATTACCCTTTTAGCGTGTGATTGAGGCAAGCTAATGTATCATCGAGAAATAGAATGACTGAGTTCTGGTATGCTTAATTTAGCTATAACAAGTGAGGTTTTGCATAGCCTGAATCCCATGACACAGACTTAGAACAGTGCAAAGTTTCAAGATAACAAGAGATTCGGCAGGGCCGTACCTAGTAACAGGCCACCTGAGGCACTTACTTTGGTAAAACGTTTGAATGCAAGTTCCCATAAGAGGCTATGCATTAAAGAAAAAAAAAACAATATAAAAGATCTGAAACGTTTTTTTTTTTTTTTTTCTGATATCTATATCTACACTTAATTAAGTCAGTAAAAATCGTGAAATACTGCCTCGGTAAGGTTTTAGTCTAGCTACGGCCGTGTGCAGGAAAGGAAAAGATTCTTATAGAGCCGACCATTTTCCTCCATAAAGAGAACGGATTCCATTGAACATTTTACTTCTGTGAAGGTACGGTGGCCTTTCTTCCAATTATCGTTGCCGCAAAGGTTGCTGGGAAGATCCCGTTAGCGACCGCGCAACTTGCAAAACGTGCCAAACAGCTCTCCCAAGCAAGGGTTTTAATTCACGGAGTTAAGTTAGGATATTCGTGTTAATTTGCAAGAGATACCCTTATTTATGTTTTAGGTAACCGTAAAAATGAGTTCTAGATTAATAGCGGGAATTGTGGCGGGAATCTGTGGCACGTTTTTCTTGGGTTACTGTGTGTACTTTGACCGGAAGAGACGAAGCGACCCCATGTTTAAGCAGAAACTTCTTGAAAGTAAGTTACTTTAGCTTATGTACTGCATGTCGTACGTAAAGGGAAATACTGTGGGAGACAGGATTGATTTGAAATAGCATTTTGCGTACCTTCTAAGCTGCTCTTAATATGACTTGTCAAGTCAGCGAGGTGTTGGGTCCCCTCGAGCTGAATGGCATGGTGTGATGTAACAACACATTTTTAACGTTTTACGCACAGACTGCTGTGTAAGCTAATGACACTCATGTGAAAAGAATTTGATGAGTCAGTGTTATTGGAAAGATTGTATATATCAGGCAGTCTATACATTCAGAGACACATGAGAACAAATGAATGTGTTTTGGATGTCCTGTCATTGGCACCTTCATTACTAGAATTCTTTCTAGCAGCAACCAACTTAATGAGCTACCAAAAAAAAAAAAAATACCGCTGATAGTGAAGAAATTTATTGGCTTAGATCATTTGAAAATATTCTTCCAGACTTAGATTATTAGAGTGCACTTTGGTCAAGTGCAAAACATGAGTCATTCCGTACATGTGAGCTGTAAACATATTTAATAAGGAAAGTGTATTCTTGTTCTGATGGCACATAACTCTTCTTTCCTTTGCAAAAATTGGCTAAGAGCATTACTTCCCCCCTCTTTAAACAGGATTCTGGCTTCCCCATGGGGGAACTCCCACTTAAAAAGGTCAGGGATGTTCGTATTCTTGGTTTGGGGTGTAAATTACAGATTATGGTCTCACTTAGGGCCTCTCTGCACAAGCCCAGGTTGAATCACTGCAGAGAGTGCTAAAAAAACACACTGCAATGTGGTTTGCTTCGAGCCTGACTGGGGTCAGCCTTTCTACTGACTGAAAAACTGAAAACACGGGCTAGAAAGTTGACAAACGATAATCCTGCAAAGTCAAGTGTAAAGGAATGGTGGGAGGCCATGATATACAAACAAAACAAAAAAAAGAAAAAAAATGGTTACCTTTACCAGCCCAGGTTAGCTTTTGGCCCAATGTTTACATGAAAGAATGGAAGAAATTTCAACCCTTCCAACCGGGTTAACCCAAGTCTTGACAATGGTTACCCAGCAAGGGAAGCTGACCTGACTTGAATTATCTTTTCATGTTAACGCTGACAAGCATTTGGCTGCAAAAGGGTCACCCTTGATGATGATTCAACCTGACTTAGGAAGTAACCCGAAGTCATGTAAAGAAGACCTTAGGGTGTTCAAAACAAGATGGCACTATTTTTAGCTGTCAAGGTATTTGTTAGGGTTGCTCTCAACGAATAAAAACAAATTGCTGTCATGTCTGTTTTGAAGAGGTATATTTTAGGGGTCAACATTATGTTGGCTCAGTGGAGCTTTTATTCTTAAAGGACTTTCACTGGCACCTGACAATATTTATAGGGCAGTCTGTAGTTAGAAACATACTTTGTATTATTCCATTTTATATCAGAACGTCGCAGAGAAAGGGAAGCACAAAAGGAAGCGTCTATGGAGGAAATGAAGGTGAGTGCCTTTAGAACAACTTAAGGGCTCTCCATCTTTAAGCACAAGTTAAGTGAAAAAATTAAATTTTGAACATGTAGCAGAAACTGGGGCGTCTTTTATCTTTGTTGCTACGATAACTGCAGCAGTTGCTGACAACAGCATATGACAACATGTATTTATCATTGTAATAATATTTGACTGAATGTACAGGATTAGATATAATTACATAAATTAAAAATATATACAGTAGCTGGTCACCGAAAATAACTATAGAGCTAAACTAGCTGGGGGACCACCATTAAACTGTATAATTTAGTTTAAAATTATTCCCAAGTCAGAAGATAAAGCTGAGGGTAAATGATAGTGCAGAAGTGGTAAATTTGTCACCTGATAGATGAAACATTTTGCTGAAAGAAATTACTTTATTGGATCTTAAAAATGTTGTGTACCTTATTTCACCATGAAGATTTATTTAGCAAAGCCAACAAGCTGTTATTTGTTGCTTATTGTGGCTAAGTCTATGTGACCTAAAACATGCTAGCACATGCCTTGGATATTACCATCTATGATAATTATAGATGGGAACATTAACAACTAACAACATTTCTTACACCCTTTCTGCCAACCTCCAGTCATGTGACTCTGACCATTGAGTCTGTGGATGAAACAGTAATTGGTGACCATTCCAATGAAAGCTATCAAGTGGTACTTTCATGAGTAATGTTTGTTATATGGTGCAAGCCAAGGTTGTGCTACCTATGATTTCTGAGAATGAAACCCTTTTAATGAAAGCCACTTGGCATTCCTTCTGAGTGGTACTGTTTGTTTTTCAATATAGGTTTCTCATTCACATACCAAAAGCAGACACATTGTGTTAAACGTTGTTACGTGTAAAAGTGAAATTATATTCTCATTTCTATTGTAGAATCGTGTACCAGATAGGAAAGATGCAGCTGCAGTTCAACAGTTTTTCTTGGAGGAAGTTCAACTGGGAGAGGATCTTCTTGCACAAGGTCAGTCTCTAAATTCTCCTTGTTGTTGATTGACTGATTGTCCGGTAAATTTGAGGTTTTGACAGGTAAGAGCTTAGCCTGGTCGGACACACTGACCGGGCATTTCTGCTACAGTGAGAAATATTTTAACTGGAAATTTGTGGCCGAGTATGGAACAAGTTTTTTTATTATACTGCCACACAATACTATGCAAAATCTCTGTTATCAGCTTTGTTTTTATTCCGTTCCTGAGAAATAATTTTATCACATACACTGCATCATCTCAAATGCACATATTTTTTTATTCTTTCCATAGCCATATGTAACATATATTTCTTTTCTAGTAATTATTTTATAATTATACTGATGTAATTTAACTCTGTAAATAGTGTGCAACAACAAAGTTGATTGATTGATTGATTGACCAATTGGATATCTGGCTGAGAGTAGATTTTCATCAGTGATGACTAAAGAAGACATTATCTTTAATTTTTGCAGGTGAATTTGAGCAAGCTGTGAAACACTTGACAAATGCTGTTGTGGTTTGTGGCCAGCCCCAACAGCTCTTACAAGTGTTTCATTCAACTCTACCAGAACATGTCTTTCAAATGTTGGTCGAAAGCCTCAATAGCATACAAACCACGACAACGCAAGTGAGTTTAACAACGTTCATAAAATAGGTCATATTCGTATTTTCGGTACTGGACTGGAACTTGCTTGCAATTGAGAAGAATGCGGGGAGCTTTTCAAATGCAAATGACCTTGTATTGGCATTATCGGACAATCTAGTCCAAAAGCGAGTGCAAATGACCTTAATCCCTTCTTAATGATATTTCCCCACATGAGCCTCCTTTACAAACTAGTACCAGTCCAATATTGAGAATACAAATATGGTCTATATTTAGCAACATGCGCATGTTTAAATTTAAGGGTTAAAGGTTTAAGTGCCACATGAGAGATGGTGGGCAAATTTAGCTGCCAAAACACGGGGGATTTTATTGTAACTTTTACATGCAAATCAGTTATTGTTTGACTGTTTTGATGGATGTTTACCATTAACTGGTAAATTGCTAGGGTGAAATGAATAGATTTCTCTTGGGAAATATTGTAGATGTCTGAAGTAAGTCACTCCCCCTTCCTGCAATGCTTAGACTCTGCCAATAATTAGTTTGAGCCCTGGCCGGGGACACTGTGTTGTGTTCTTGGGCAAGACACTACTCTCATGGTGCCTCTCTCCACCCAGGTGTATAAATGGGTACCAGCAAACTTAATGCTGGGGGTAACCCTATGATGGACTAGCATCCTATCCAGGGGGGAGTAGAAATACTCCTAGTAGCTTCATGCTACAGAAACGGGGAAAAGCTCTGGCTGGTGGGCCACTTGGCTTTTATGCACATTTTACCTTTACCTTTCCTATGGAACCCCGAGTAATGATGAAAAAAAAACAAATAATAAATCACTTTATTTAAGTATCGAAGTGTTTAGCACTACTGCACTAATTGAGTACACTAAAATGAACAAAGAAATATTGTAAATTGAACAGAAACTTGTTTAAAATCCTAACTGGCAGGAGGTTGACCAGTTGGCTATTTACAAAGCGTGGAGGAGTTGAATCTGGGACCACCAAACACAAATCCATCAAGTGGCGGGGAGGAGGATTTGAACTTGGGACTTCCCAATTACAAATCCATTGCAAATGATGGAAGTCAATGATTGATTACGAATCACTGAAGTGAATTTCTCACAAGTTTCTCTCTTGTTGTCTCTTTGATAGAAAACTGAAGATGGAGATTCCCTGGATTAAGCTCTTAAATGCTACTGTTTGGTTTCATTTCTGTGTGCAAAAACTTTTGAAAAAAGTAAATAAATAGAGGGGTGTAAGGCCTGTGTGCTGTTGGGTTTGTCTTTAACAGTTTCAACACATTTTGGTTGGATTGTAAGAGTGAAGGCACCTAGGCGAACTATGTTAATAAACATGTTTTTTAGGAGAACTGTGTACTGATATTTGTCGTTAGTTTTGGATTTTATTTTGTGTTATTCCCATGGAAACTGCATGTTGCCCAAAAAGATTTTATAAACTAAAAATTGAGAGAAGGAAGCAGAACAATTTCAGTCCATTAAAATTATTGCAAGGCATTGCATTTTTTTTCTTGTGTCTTTTTTTGAATCAGTTGTTTGGTTTGTGACTCGTAACTTGAACAACGCGGAGAGTACATTTTGAGCAGGCTTTTAGCCAGGATTTAAAATGTGGGCGTCCAAAATGTGCTATAGGGTCTGCTCAAATGAACAATTTATAAGGCAACACATGAAAAATAAAATGATTTTCTTTAATAAGTGGCTATCCACAGGACACCCATCTGGCTAAAAACCTGGTTTTGACATAGAACTTGTTGATGTTGGGACTTTTGCTGTAAGAAAATAATGTTCATTCTGGTCTCCCAATAGCATTTAATGAATTCCATGTGAAGAAACACTAAGAAAAATTTAAAAAATGCTTATTTATACATTGATATTTATTACATTATGTACATGTACAGAAGGTTTCACCAAATCTCACATAAGCAGCGGAACATCCGGGTCATCAATAAAATTATCTTCCTTTGATTCTGTTATTCTGTTCACCTTTTCATCTTGCTTTTTAGTTTTGTCTTGAACAGTTTTGCTGTCTTTTACAATTTTACTGAAATCCATGTCACTGTTAGTATTGGGTTTGACCTCCAATCGCTCGTGGTGTATTCTGAGAAAGATGAGAAAATTTGTAGATGTATTTACACAAGTGTTCACATCTGATAATAAATGCAGTTCGTACTCTCTATCTGTCACACAAGGTAGCATTTGTGACAGACTGAAGGCAACAACAACAACAAAACTTTATTTACTCTTGTACTTACAATTTTATAACTCTCTCACACACACATATTAATTAAGTACAAATATTGAGACTGGAGGCTAAATAGCTGGGAAGTTAACGAGTTAGCCTTAAAAAAATGACTGATCTGGGAGAGAGCAAGAACTTTTCTACCTATCATGAACAGAAATAATCATGACTGCATGGCACTTGTCAAAGACAAATATTGTAAAACTGAAGTAAGGTATAAAAAAAGCACCAAAATATAAGTAGGAAGTCAGACAGTTTTGGCTTAGCCCATCATCGGAGATGTTTAGTGGTTTGTTGGAGAATCAGCCAAGACAAATGCTTTGTGTACTGTTGAACCTCTATCAAGCAGCCAGTTATCAAAGTCCCAAAATAATTGTCAGTAAAATACTGTAAATAAAACCCCTATTAACCGACCACCTCCATTAAGTGGCCGCGGCCACCTTTGATTGTCCTGATGAGGCTTTTTCTGTCCTCTTTACCCCTTTTGAACGGCCACCCAAATTTTAATACACCTAAATAACCCTTGGTGGAAAAGGCAATGACAAATAAGTGTCTGAAATAGAAGGTGAGAAGTGACAAAAGCATTCAAACACACGTTCATCATGATTGTCTTGAAGTGACTCCATGTTCACTAAGAAATTAACCCGATGGTGAAAAATATCAAGGTACACCAACCTCTATTAGGCGGCCAACTCCTTTTAAGTGGCTACCTCCCATTTCCCCAAGGGTGGCTATTTAACAGGGGTTTGACTGTATATGCATCCTAGGTTCTGCGTAATCTCAGAAATTCAAATATCACGTCTACACCCACCCAAGTTACAAGTGAAATGTCTCCTTGGGCAAAAGCATGTGACCATAGCTATAAATAAGACAGACTGTGTTTGTAAATGTCAGTGAAGCCCTTGCAGCAACTCTTCATCCAATATCTTCCTAAACTAAGTGAATAAAATGGTTCCAAGATTTTCTTGATGACACTGGATCAAAATCTTGGGACCATTTGGCAGGGGAGGCCAAGGGGGGAGGAACTCCAATTATATAAAGGACAAGGGTTCTCATCGTAACTAAAAGGTCCACAGCAGGAACTTTTGCAATACCTTTTAGG